CCCCCCCCCCTCCCTCCCCCTATTCGCCCAGTGCTGCTACGTGACCACAAATTCGTAAGCGCCCTTTGCAACGGCTTGCTTGGTTGTAGTACTTTATTTCTTTACACGCTCTACAGTGTTGCGGGTTTGCTCATTCCCTTAGCCCGTGAAAAGCTCCATGATGGCCGCTATGGGCCGAGTGAATAGCGATGCACGATGCAGACGTGCAACACCATGGCAGCGGGTGCAGGAAAACACTTAGCACTGTCAGTCCACTGAAAACCCAAATGTGCGAACGTCACACACCTGAAGGTGATCGAAGAAGTTCACACTCTTATTAGATACGCGTCAAAACATTCGTGTACTTAGGTGAGCGAATAACAATTTACACGCTTTCAAGTGAGTAAGTCATCATTGGCGAGGCAATGATTAGCCTATTCGTTCACCTGCAAGTGTGTAAATGGTCATTCACTCTCCTGCAAAGTATTGAAATATTTTTTGACGCGCATCTACAAGAGTGTATGTTTATGTCCACATCTGCAGCTGTGCGACTTTGGCACACCTCTCTTTTTGTGAAAGTCTTGTGTGAAAGTGTCTTTTTGGTCTCTTGGGTTGCACCACTTACTCCAGTGTTGCACCTATCAGAGAGGGTTATCATGGCTCTGGGTATCGCGACCATTAGTGGTCCATAGATTTGGTGCCGCCACATACGACCCACTTCTCTCCTCCCACTCCCAAATTATTGTTGTATTTTTGAACACCTATCGTTGCGGTGAGCGTGAAATCTCTCTCTTCACAGCAGGGGCTGTTCGGTAAACCCTGTCCGTCGTTACAGTCATACTTAAGGTTGAAGTTTTGGTAAGAAAAAGTAAGTGCTGTTTTAAGCGAGATGTAAAGCACCCCCGCCGGGAAACCCGCCGGGATATTTTGTTGGTCCGGACGGGAGGTCAGAGATCTCTCTCCACCCCGCGCCGTGTTGCGTTGCGCTCGCTGGCGGGCGGAAAGGCCATGTCTGGAATGGAGATATGACCGTCGATGACCGACGCCGCTGACTTTCGCCCAGTCCGACGGCACTTTTATCTGGACCAGCGCCCTCCTACCCTTTACAAAATATCAGAAAAAAATAAACATTTAATTTTTGCTCTAGGAAAAAGAGATGACCTCGCGTCAAGTGTTTGACGGGAAATGATGCGCGCTCTTCCGGGCTGGCTACATGCGGGGCGGGGCCGGCGGGGCCGAGGCAAGGGGCATCTGATAAAAGTTACGCCCTTTAGTCGAAGGACGATAAGGTGGCCCTGGGCTGCCCGGGGGCAAGGTGCATATCGGTCCAAAGGTCCATTCGGCGCGGCGGTATGAGGTCTCGTGCCCCGAGTCAGTGATGACCGGCCCAATCTGGCGCTTGGTTCGCTGGGGTCGTATCCCATCGGCGTGGGTGGGGTGGGCTGGTCGGGGTGGGAAGGTGTGACTGGGACTTCCCACCCGGGCCTCCCACAAAAAAGTATCAGCCCGGAACCCTTTTCGCTTTTGACCCCTGAATGTAGGCAACTACTTGTACGTACCTGTGTATGTGGGCAACTTGCCCTAGGCAAAGTCTCACTCGGACCCCTAACCCCGTGGTGTGCGACTGGATCCCCGGCGATGGCACTCCTCCTTGCGGCTCCAGGCCTCGTTCCTCATGTCA